AACAATTGGATTTTCCAGGGGCCAGCGGCCGGCGCATCCACTTCCATGCTTGGGGGGGATATATATGTTGGGACGCACCCCCCGGGCTCGAAGCGTGGCGGCGCGGCCGACCGAAGCAAGGAAAGCATTGTTTGGGGGGGTGCAGTTTTGCCTCAGCACCGGTCGAATGCGCAAATTGGGGGTTGTGGTGGTTGGGTAGCTCAAGAAGATTGAACATGAAGAGCCATGACAAGGTTTGGGAAAAAGAGGGCTGTGGAAGCTTCTAGCAGCTGGCGAAAACCCTTTGGCTGGTGTTTTTTAGCCAGATGCCTCAGTCTCGCACCTCCACTACTGGTCAGCCACTTGAATCATTTGGAAGAGCTCTGGAAGGTTTGCTTTTGACCTGTTGAGCCGTATTTGTAAGATGCTATATATGTACTCGCGAATTCTAGACCATGGCGATCCATGGCGGAATGCCACTGCAGGGCGTCGAATCTGAACCTCCGAGTCGATCCGGCCGGGATGGCCTCCCCAGTCGTTGGCGGCCAAGGACGTGCCCATTTGGACCATCCAGTCACTCAGGCCTTCCGTTGGAAAATCAGGAAACTACTGGGAGAAGAGGATCTACTTAGTTTAGATGGTTATGGTGCTGCGCAATGTAAATCTACTTCCAGCAACTAAGGAGATCTAGCTTTGGGCTCGAAACCATCTAAAACCAGTAAGCGGAGTCTCACGAAGTACAGGAAGCAACAAACCAAAGGATTGAAGGGCTGGACTGGACCAACGATGCTTCCACATCGTGGCCTTTCTTTGATTAGGGCAGATGAGTTAGATTTTGTGATGACTACTATGGCTATTGCACTCCAATGCGTCCATTCCATTCGAAGGCTCATAAAAGGTGAGACATGCTGATAGTGTTGTGCATGATTTTGCGCAGCAACATGGATGGTAGGGTTTAAATTATCCGGATGATTCTTGATGGTTCTGTTAGGAGTTCGCAGAATGTTTTCGAACAAGGGTTATGGAATGGTAGTTATCAATAGAGTGCGCCACTTAGCGCAGCTACAAGATCATGAACAGTAATGGATGAGGCAAACAAACAGGCTAAGGCTTTCCACATTGCCACGTTGCCAAGCAGGCTTTCCACCAAAATCACTTTTATTTACTGGAGTTCAATGTCACTTCTGTTCGAAATGCCCGTGTTTCCCCTCTTTTGCCGCTCACCACGACAGGTTGCTGGGCCCCTTGGCAGAAGCGGACGCCGACACCCGACCGATCGGCACGGGCACCCCTGAGAAAACCCTCGACCCGCCATGGCGGTTCAGCGCAACATCGACCCACGCGTTTGCGGGTTATGCTGGTTCATTCTTCGATATGTTTTTGTTTTTCTTGAAGAGAGGGCATGAAACCGTGGTTTCGCCCACTGGTGTAAGTGCACTGCAGAGACATGACTGGTGTAGGACCGTGCCAACTGGAGATGTAGGAGGGCAATCCCATGCAGTGCTCGACACCTGGAGGGCTGAGGTGTCTTTTGGGTTGAGGTTGTTGGGTTCCAGGCACGTCAACATTTCCACCTTAGGCATGATGCTGTTTAAGAGCGGACGAAGCCCTCTTTTCTTTCCAAGGGTCACTCAAGGATGCGGGTCGAGATGCTCTTCTGGTGCAACACCGGTGGGCCACTGGTGGGTTAGAATGTTAAAACGGATTTTCTTACAAGCCATGCATTTTGAGAACTATACTATGTATATGTAGTTATATGTTCTACTGTACACATGCACGCACGGTGCAGATCAAGATTGGTTTGCCAGGCTCGTTTGAAGGGAACGACTTGAAGGACACCTATAGAAAGCATTTGGGTAACGGCTTAGATAGGGCAGGAAGTCATGACTTGTGACCATCTGCACAAAATGGAGGAGGATTGGAAATCTTTGTGATGGCATGGTCGCCCCAAACAGTCTCCCCCGCCACACCTGTCATGTTCTCCGCCTTTCAGGATTGCTGAAGACCATGGCAGGGGAGATCCAGGAGGACATCAAGGAGATCCGCAGCTCCCGTGGTCTCCGCTAATGAAGGCGCGGTCCATGCTTTGTGGGTCAGCTGGAATGCTGCATAATAAACGTGTCGAGCATGGTGCTTTGTGTATAGTTTGGAGGTGGGATTTTGAGCCTTGATACTCCTATCAGATGCTTTCAGACATGACATATCATCACAACCTGTGCCGAAGAAGTGAAGAGCCACCTGCAACCACCTCCTTCAAAAGAGTGGGTTCTCGGTTTTTGCGCCCAGAAGCAGTACGTTCCGGGAATCGAGGAGGGTGGAATGACGTCACAACAAGGCAATCCGGTTCACCGGCCTACCACCTGCTGATCCCTTGGAACTTAGTACTTTTGGTATCTTTTGGTCACTTTTTGTGAGATTTGCAGGGGCCACTAAACATGACTTTTGGTGGGCAGTAGCTCGAAAGTTGGCGGGGAAAGCACGCCACGGTGGCGCCCACACATTTGCCGCAACGTTCTGATGACATTCTTGCAATGAGTCCTTTGAGCTGAAGGACCTGGGAATAAGGCCCGCAGAAATCTCAAACCAGGCTGCAATGCCCACCATGATTCATGCTCTACATCCACGCCACTCTCAGGTGCACCGCTTCCACTTTCCGATGCGCCGTCTTGGCATGAGTGGCGCCCGATCCTGCCAAAGAGCAGTCCTTTTCTGTTGCGCGGTCAGTGCGCCGCAAGTGATGTGTCACGCAAAAGCTCTTTCATGCCTGAAGAAAGCACAGACCCTGAAAGAATTTGAAGTCCAAGCCAGCATTGAACGTTGGGTCTGTGTTAGTCCTCAGGGCGAGCATAGATGAAAGAGCAGCAGCTCAGCTCAGCTGCTTCGGATGGGGCGTTCCCCCGACGGTCGGTGAGGAGGTTCGGTTTCGGCGGCGGATGCGGAGAACTCTGCAGCGAATTTGCAGCACCAAGAGAACGAGAATATGAGATACGCAGTAGATTACAGTAGATTATATAGCCTTTTCCGCGTTGAAGACGCTTTCCCATATTTTGTTCAATGTTCTACATGGAGTGCAAGATTTTGGAATGAATGGGCCAGGAAAACATGAGACATCAAGAGGCACCAACATGTTTGACGACCTCATGCTTGAATTGCAACAGGTGCGGAAGGAGAAACTCTTCATTGAAGACAAACTGATCCGCCTTGATTCTGCCCACCGAGATCGCAAAGTTCTGCTCATCCGATCTGTTCACAGCAGAACTGGCCTAATTCGTGCGACAAAGCCTCAGAAGCATTGGACCAGAATGACAGACCCACGATCCCAAATCTGTTCTGGGTCTCCTTTTGTTGGCCCAACATTGCCTTGCATTTGAGAAAAGATTGGGAGCATTGGGGGCATTGCAAGAATGCAAGGCAAATCTTTTCTCAGAATGACATACCTGGCATTCTTCTTCTCCTTTTATTGACCCGAAAACGAACTCCGAACGCATCGGCCGGTCGGTGACGCTTCGAACCTCCGCTCGTCCGCGCGGGGAGCGCCATGCCATGCGCGTCGCCATTCGCCCAAGGCCCCAGACTGACCCGATCAAGGGCCCCAATGACCAGACGGTTCTAGCATGTTCTAGCGCCGACTGACTGGGCAGAATTGGCCATCTTCATCTCCACCTGCTGAATTGGAAGGATCTCAAATAACAATTAATTATATACATATATATATATATATTTATATATGTATATCTATCACATCTTACAAAACACATGGTCCTGTGCATTCAGGTGGTGAACAGTGAAAGATCGCATTTTGCCCAGAATCTCAGCAGGGGCCCTTGAGATTTGAGAGGCTATGTCTAGATATGTCTAGATGAAGTTTAGGTCACTTGTGCCTTTGCTTTGGTATGCAGATCGAAGAGTGGGAACAACCCAAGGTGCTTCACTCAGAAGCAGGCATTTGACCACCTACAAAATTACAGCCAGTAGCAGAGTAAGGAACAAAACATTTGGAATATCCAGCAAAGGTGTTTGTTGCTAGCTAAGGCTTCCAACATGATAATGCATAATCCACAGTCCTGCACACGCACCAGCCCATGCAAGCCCTTTTGGAGGAACAACCTCATAGTGATCCCAACATGCACCAGACAGTGAATCCAATAAAATCAATAAACAACAACGAGCCGTGAAGGTTTCATCGAGTTGGGTCGGGCCTTTTTGCTTAGTTTCACCCGTTCGTGTGTGCTGAAGCTCAGGAAGTGCTGGTAAGACATTTGCATCACTTCGGGGATTTTATATAGTAGTTGTTTTGTGCATGCAGAAGTTGAGGGTGCTCTGTAGGATTAGCAGGGTTCGCCAAGTAATGGTCGATCACTGTCCTGGAAAGACCAATTACAGAGATGACATGACAGTTGACATTGAGCAGGTTGCAAGATGTTGTAAGCAGGTTTGGGGCTTTCTCAGGTGAGTTTCACAGTCAAAACGTGGAACCCAGCTATGAGAGGGCACGTTGCATGATGGAATCATATGGAAGTCAGGCCAGTGTTTGAAACATAAAGAACCAAAAGGTGAAGTTGCGAAGCCCTTTTTGGGTGGAACTGAGGGTAGTCAAAGATACTGCACACTGTGTTTGCCAGAAAGTTATTTTGCCATGGTTGGTTCTTGCTTACTGAGAGTGCACCGGGTCAGACATCTAAGTGAGACCTTCATTCTACCATGCCATTCTGAGCTATCTCCCGAGAATCCAGTGCACGACGTGCCACGAACTTGCTCCTTTGCCCATGGCACTGTGTACTGAGAAATGGCGAGGGCGCGAGGGTTGTGCACAGGAGAGGGTTGTGAGCCATGGGGTGTGGGTACTCGCTATACTCACTTGCTTGTGGTATGCGATAGAAGAGCGCACCACCCAAGGCAAGCAGCCGCCAGCAAGGATGGAAGTGGACGACCTTTTTTGAACAAACAGTTTTCCAACTTCCAACCCTCCAAGAGGTCCTTGTCCTGCAGATGCCACGACGCCTGTGGCCCAGCCACTCGAGGTCTGTCACTGCCGACGGCAACCGCGTAGGTCGGGGGTCGGGGCCTGCGGCGTAGTTGGACATCGCTGAGACATCGCTGAGCAAATTTGACGAAGAGATCTATAGGATTTGCATGGATTTGCCCTTTCACGGATTTTGGCAAGGACACCTGCTGACAGTAGCTGGGACACTACTTGCACCTGTTGCACCACTGAAAGATGAGCTTGAACTAGTTCAGCTGCCTTGACCTTGACCCTGTGTTTCTGGTGTAGTTCACAGTCACACAGGTGTCACCGGCACTCAAGCTCGCTACCCGCACAATTCGAGGTGAGAGTGGCTCCCTGGTCGAACGCCGGCCAGAAGCCAAGGAGGGGAATTATTATTTGGTCGAAACATGCATATCAATGAGCTTCTTACTGGTATGTGTACCAAAAGCCTCTGAAATGATATGAAATGCTGTTTCTCTTGCAAGTCCAACCACCTGACAACACTCTCTAACAGCCACAAGAAGCCTAAGCATGCTGCGCCAGGTAGCCTTGCTGGGTGGAGAGAACGTTTTCCCCGGTGGCCTTTCTCAAGGTGGGGCCACCTTGAAGCACATGTTTGCCATCCACTGCGTACGGGTGATCTCTATAGGAACCTCGAAGCATCGTAACATCACTTCGCTCCACCAACTTCTTCCATAAGAAACCAGGTGTCTTCCTGATGTCGACGGTCAACTCCAAACCGCCCAGACCTCCCGACCTTCCAAGCGGTCAACGGGTCTAGACGCGTCGCAGGCGCGGCTGCGCGGGTCGCGCGGGTCGCGCAGTGGCTCTGGAGGCTGAGCGCTCGGAAGTGCCATGGCGCTGGAGATGGTGGGCGGGGTGAGGGGATGTGAGGGGGTCATCTGGTGCAGTAGGTGTAGGTGTGTTTGATGAGTGGCACCACCAGTCAAACATCTCCATGTCTAGGATTGTCTAGGGGTGTCCAGGGTCGACAAATCAACTGTGAACGGATTCGCCGGATTTGGCGGCTGACTTGTTGTTCCCCAGGTCTTAGGGCCTGGGTTGTACATCCTTCAAGAGACGGTTCACCACACCCATTGAGCTGGGCAAAAAGACCACGTGCTGAACCCAACAGCTGCAAACGGCTGCACGGGGGGGTGCCTTTAGCGGCCGTTTGGCGCGCGGGCGCAGCAAGGTGTGGGGTGCCCAGTGATGCCCTGGGCTTCGAGGGCACGGATGAGGCATTGGAGTGACTTCTGGAGGATGAGGTGCGCGGAGCGCCCCAGGCAGTGCTTGACTCCGCTTGTTTCATGGACTGGGCTTGGCCACTCAGGCTAAGCAAGGCTGAGGCTTTGCTATTGTTTGCCTCTTTGGGGCTTGGGGTTTTCCAGGGCGTAGTTGGGTGGAAGACTGTGAACTGAGCGTGACTGAAAGGTGTTCTGCCTTTGTCAACTCAAAGTTGCAGACTCCTAACTCGATCCCGGAGAAGCTTTGTGTGCATTCTTCCAAAGATGGGAGGTTCAGGTGCTGGACCAACTGAGACATAGCAGAAAGCTCAACCGATCGAAATACACAGGCTCAGCCCTTCCTGAAATCGATCTTGATCCCTCCCGGGGACACCTGGTATCTCAGGGACACCTGGTATCGGGCGGAAGCAGACTTGGGCCTCGAACTTCAGGGCCCATAGAAAAAGTGGGAAACCAACAAGTGTAGCCTTTTGAGGGCAAGATTTTGACTGCTCTCCTTTGAGACTCATTTTTAAGTCCCGCTGCCAGGTCCAAAGCCAGCGGCCAGTGCTGCGGCCACAAGTGCAGAGGCCAGTGCTGTGGTAGGTGTAGGAGTTGTGTGGGTGAAAATTCCTTGGTGACCTGCAAAGTTTCAAGAAATTTCAAGAATTTAGTTACTGGCCTGTGAAGAATCTATAATAATCTCATTTTACTGACTCATTTATACTCTTATTTTACTGACGCATGTATGCTCTCATGACTCCACATAATACATACTGTACCCAAGGGATGGGGTAAACGGGGCAGATCAGTAGATTGAAGATCCGAATCGCCCATCAAGCACATGCAGCTTGATTGCACAGGAGCCACGGTAGGTGAAACGGACGCCACTTGACACATGGTTCTGTGTAAGGCTGTTCTGAGCCCTTGCGGTTGTTGGTGTGCAAGTGAATCAGACGAAAGCTGAGAAGCTGTAGGGCTCAGGAAAAGCACGGGAACATTAGGAACACAAAGCCAGAAGTGGTAGACGAGATGGGCAGACACGATAGGTCAAGCACAAGAACATACAAGAACCAAAGAAGTGAGGAGCAGTGAGAGGACATCGGGAGCTAGAAAGCACCCTGACAAAGTGACATGCATACACAGCTGCTGCTTTTTTCTCCGGGACCTGTTGAGCATCCTTGGTTCCCCGCACGTTTCGACACGGTGAAGTGGCATATCTAGACTAAAACCGCCGTCCCGGTGTAGATGGAGCATCCGATGGGGGCGGAGCGGAGACGGCGGGGAGGGGAGAGGGAGGGAATGCGCAGCTACGCAACGAAGCAAGCCCTTTGGACCATTTTGGAGAACACCTCAAGAAGCATCCAAGTCCGGGAGGGCAACATGTTCTGATAATGTTGGGTGCGGTATTGTGCTCTGAATCTGACGCCTACCCTGTTGCACACTGAGAATCTTATATATATATAGATATGTTGTTTTGCCCCCCAGGTAGAGGTCACCGGCCCACATGTGGCTTGAGACCACGTCGGCACAAAAAAAGGGACGGCGAAACCCACCCAAGTAGACTCGGTAGACCCTGAGCACCGAGATCGAAGGTGTCCTTGGTTTAGAAGCCATTCTTGCTCAAAACTGCCTGGGGTTCTCTCTGTGTTTGAGTGCTTTCGCCACGATGGTGCACACCCAGACGGAAGAGTGCCAGCTCTCGCCTTTGGCTACGTCCATCCTCTTCAAACTCTCAGCCAAGTCGCTTGGTTTTTGTTTGAGCCCGCAACCCAAGGAGAAGTGGCCATGACGGTTGGGCCATGAAGGAGGCACAACATGTTGGCATCAATGTTCCCATTACAAGTCAGTTGATATAAGTCAGTTGAAGTGAAGCAGCACATGTAGCCTCAATGATTGGCTAGAGCAACGCTATAGGAGGGAAAACACCTAATTATATCTAATTATGGTGAGTCATTTCAGCTTCAGCTCGAGGACCTTATAGCAGATCTTACTACAGACAGTCAGGTCCTCGACACTCAGACTGCCAACTGGGAAATCCCAACGTGCAGAGCACCATGTTGCACCATGTACGTGCATGTTTGACACCCCCGTTACTTAGTATCCTTTCCTTACTGTGGGCTGCGATAATTTCTTCCACTCTTCGGGGCCTGGGGCCCGGGGTCCTGCTCGGAGGCGGGAACCACGTGTTTCTTTTTAAACGAAACAAGTCCGGGAGATTCCAGCAGTATAACTTGGGGCACAGATGCTTCATCACGTTCCGGAAGGCCGACAAAAACACATGCCCATGAGAGCTAAGGCTTTCACAAGAAGACTTCGTGGTGGCCTTGCACCGTAGCTCAGCTGCAGTTGGTGGCTTCTTGGACGTCGGTGACGCCGGAATCCCAAGCGAAAGAAGCGACGACGACATGACTCTTTTGAGGATGGGAGTCAGGAAGGATGAGAAATAAACATGTTGGAAAATAAGATTGTAATAGGATCAATAGGCAAGCCCATCAGTGTTTAAGTAGGTGTTGGATCACAAACCACAGATCAGTTGACCTCTCCATATTTTGGTGAACCATCGCGGCGGGCAAAAAACCATCGCAGCTCGCCCCGGCTGGAGGGCGTTTACCGGAGCTCGATCGGTGTGTCGGCGTGAGGCCTGTGTGGCTATCCTGCCGACCAGCGTCCGTACAACTTCATTCATTTGCCTTGGAAGCAACTGGCCGTGGTGAACTTCACCAGTCACGACGCTTGTGATTTCTGCTTTCGCGTGATGAAATGCCTCGCAGGCGCGGGGGGGGGGGGGTCCAGGTCCATCGGACCGAGGACGACGCGTGCCCAGCCGCGGGGGGTGATGAAAACAGATGAAAGTAGGTGAATGGCACATGGATGGACGTTGACGGATTCTCCTATTCATTCCATGCAGACAGTGATTCATGGTTTCCAGGGTTTTCAAGAAAGGCACACGGGTGGACGTGAAAGTCAAGTGAGGAACCTTCTTCGGCTTTGGCTTTGAATGCAAAGTGAATAGATTGACAGCGACGGACTCAGTTCCATTGAGCTTGCGCCAAGCTCATTCACATGACGATCGAGAGAGATGTGATTCACTTGCACACTTGCAGGAGCGCTTGTGGCCGGGGTGGTCCTTTCTAACCTGTGTGCCCCCAAGGAAACCACACTTTGATACCGATTCGAAGGATAACTTGTTGGATAGTTTTCAGGCAGGAACCGATGACAGCAGTTGCACCAGTCCGCATCAAGAAAAGATACACAAGCAAGCTGCCCCTCATTCTTCTCTGATTATTTCTCATGATCTTGGAAAGCGGACATCTTGGTTTGGGATGATGTGCAGTGAAACCTACACCCAGTAATAGCCCAAGAATAATCAACATGTGTGGCCCCCAAAAATGGTTGCAGTCACACACTGGTTACTGGATTTGAGTCGTACTGGTCCCTCTTCCGGTGGTTGTTCTCTTGCACCCCACGCCGGCCCACGCCTTTGAGCCCCCGGTCACGTGCGCGGACCGTACGCCCCGCCCCTGAACGCGCCATGCGGGTCTCCAGGGGTGCCGGGCGTGCCCGTGGCCGATGTGCGCGAAGGTTTGCATCAGGGACTCGAGGCCTGGACATCGGTCGGAACACCTCCGCCGATGGCGAACGGGAGCGACGTCGGAACTGGGAACTCCGCTCGCGCCGTGGAGTGATGTCTCACAACGAGGGGATGACTGCAGGGCGACTGGGTGACTGGCATGTTTCAGAAGCTCTAATTCAACATAACTCAATAATCCAATGATCAACTGGAAGGTCACAGAAAATCCATCAGGAAACGATCACATGATCCTCCTTCACGGGGGTCATTGACAGGATGAAAAACGATGGGCTCCCATAGAAGTACTCTTGGCGCAGCCATCCCCAAAGTAGTGAGAATCGAGAAGAGAAGCGACGACGCGAGAAGACTGTGCAAACACCTTTTGGGAGGGATCCGCGATCAACGCTACCAAGGAAATCCTCTACATGAAGCTGACCCCTCACTTTGATTGAAGAACACTAATTCTTCAATTTTTGTATATGTGCTAAAACATCCTGTTGTTTAATTTTGTTTGGCCAACTGATTTTGTTGCATTTTTTGCATTACTGCCGCGGCAGTGAGACCAATCCTCACATGAGGTCAAAGGTGAACCGACCGGGCCAAATGGGAGAGAAAGTCACCTTGGTGGATCCGGGTCCAAGTCACCGATCAATTCCAAAGACCGTCTGTAGACCTGCATGTCGGGTGCCCCGACCTGGCTGCTTCTAATCCAAAACCCTGAGTTCTTTTGCAGTTTTTGCAATGTTCCAATCGGTGGGAGGCTGGATTTCACACCTTGCCTTTTTTCCGCGCCCTTGCTTTTAGCAGCAACGAAGCCCGAAATCTGGAGGCAAACTTGGCCCATTTCTGTGCCAAGTGCTGTCACCCGGCTTGTGGAACACAAAGTGTGGGCACCGGTGCGGTGCCATCGGTTGTGACATATTGTGATCCTGACCGTCTTTTTCAAGATGTGCTGTTGTATGTTTAATCATTCGTGGTAGCTTGCATATATATATATATTGCCAGGTTCATCTCAAGTGTCCCTACCATACATCTCACTCAGGGGTCGGATAAAGAGTGATCATGCATTTTTTTTGCAAAGTGGGTTGTTCGTTTCTTCTTTTTGTTTTTCGAGCTTTTGTGTACGGAGTATCATCGTTCAATGCCAACACTTAAGCGTTTGCGATCAAATGTTGACTTTTGGCTCACCACCATTTGACCCTTGGTTGGCGGGGGGGCTCCCAATTTTTTTCCGGAGCAAGCCGGCAAATGTGCGCCTACTCCTTATTTATACAGACGTGGCATGTCAATGCAAGGCCATGGGGCATGCCTCCCCGTAAAGGCAAAGATGTTGGCTTACTAAGTACCAGCCGTGAGAGGGCCCTTGGTTTTGACATGTATTGACCAGGGCGTGATCCATGTAGTACCACCTCGATGATCCAGGTAGTGAGCTGCGAGGATGGGGATGAAAACGTGTCCCACAATTCAGGACCACTGTAATTCACTTCGTACTGGTGTCATAGCAGCCTTCAGATTGCTCAATTATGTTGACCCCACAGCTACAGGTCATCCACTGTCCACACACCGACCTTCTTGATGTCCACTTCATCGGTAAAACTCCCCGAGGCAGTCCGCGTCGGGCAGTCCGCGTGGGTGTCAATTATTGAGACTCAGACTCCGGGAGTTGATGTGAGCTGCGAGGCCAGATGAGCACCTACGAAACCCTCCCATTGGTCTTCGTGAACAATGAGGAGATTCCATTGACCATGGCATGCCAAACTCTTGCCACCTGACCGATGAGACTGTCGACCGATGCTCGAAAAGGGGATAAAAGCATGACACTTGTCAGGCTCATTTTGCATGATGTGGATTTTGCATGATGCGCTGCTTGCAACTCCAGATTGCAAGCGCCCTTGATTCAAAAAGATGTTCATCCTACCTGACGGTTGCCATGGAGACAAGCAAGGCGTGTTTATTCTATTTGAATCTATTTAATGATTTAATGTATACTGCAAGATTTCAAGAGACGGTCCCTCGAACACTTGGCTGAGTAAATCCTGACAACCTGGACCACCCAATTCCCCCAAAAGTGCGATATTTCAAAGCACAAGGAAAAGTGCAATGCTGGACAAAAAGCGATATTTACGAAACATTGACATATATGTTATGATGGGGTGCCCGCGGAGAGGTAGACGTGAACCACAAATTCACTGGGATAAAAACTTATTCTCTAGTTTCTGCGGAGGATTGGGCTTCAAAGACAGCCTGGTCAAGCTGAAGTGTTTGTGAGATGTTCGATAATCCGATATGTTGCAAATTTCCAGTCCACAAGTATCTGCCATATTCCCGCAAATTTTCGCCATATTCCCGCAAATTTCCGCCATAGACTTGTTTGTCAAATTTTGCAAGTTGCAGCGCATCCAAGAGTTACCCCTTCATCAATCATTGGACTGCCCAAAATTGAGCTGGAGTGTCTGCTGTGTAGGGCTTTATCAATTTTGCACCCGTATTGTGTCCTGTTGCACCAGGTGCAGGTCAAGATCCCCAAAGAGCACAAAACGTGACATATTCCACTTTTTTGACATGGGCAGCTCCAAAAAGCAGTTTTTTTTTTTGACCTATCACATTTTTTGCATACACAGATTGCTCCAGGAAGGTATTTTATGGTAGTTTGACTTAGCCACAGGCCTGAACTTTAGTGTGGTTGCCCATGATTGGATCAAAGAAGTACTGTTCAGTAAGCTTTGGAGGCCGGAAACTCCAATGATGGACTCTAACTGGATCTGAAAAACGACCAACTTGACCTTCTGCAGGTCACGGATGATATGCTCCTGGAGTTCTTGGAAGAACTTCCCGGCTCAAAGACACGGAGGGCCATGAAGGGCAAGGCTTTGGCCTCCAAGGCGGAGATTTGAGTGAAGATGTCCTGATACCCAGGTTATAAGATTCTGGTATATATCCGTTTGGGGCAGTCACTCCTGATAATTTTAAGTAATTCTATATAAATATACACGAGCACGCGCACTTTCTACAACGGCACACTAAACCCTTTAATTGATATGGTTTAACTGTAGTTATAAACCAAACTGTATTCACTAAAACCCCTTGTTTTGCACATCAATTTATCACCCCGGCACCCAGAACCCCAACGCCCAGAACCTCGCCATCTTCGCCCCTTCCAAGACCCACCCGCCTTTCGGAGGCACCGAAGGCCAAGCGCATCAGCCCATGCAACACGCCGCCCGGCCTGGAGCCGTCACATGGCAGCCTTTCAGCGAGAGGACATCGGAGTTCGGATGGATGGTTCGCCATGTGTCTCCAGGCCGAAGCCATCCGAAACCCAGCCAAGGTGGATTTGGCATGATTCAGTTTTAGTATGTGTTATACCGCCGGACTGAAAGTTAGAATGCCTATCACCGAGTGGGGAGTCTAGGTTTACTTCTAGGTTTCGGCTACCATTTAGAATGCCTCCCAGCACATTGAGGCGTACCTGAGACGTGTCTTAAACAAATATTGAGACGTACCTGGGCTAATTTGTATATAATATATATGAATTGTTGAAGTGTTTTGCCTAGTGCCTTGGCTCAAAAAAGGAAATTTAGGTATTTGAGCTGGCGCCATGCAGCAAACGTTGCATGCCGTCTTGAAAAAGACCATGTCAAATCCAGATCCGCCGCCTCTTCCAGCTCCTGTGAATCCACCATCTCCACCATGATTCATCTCCCATTGAAGATCTATATATACTTGAGAAATATATATATATATACATACACATAGTGTTTACATGATTCAATCGCTGTATATAGAGCTCATTTGATGCAAAACACTCTAGCCGGACTGACAGTTAGAATGCCGCCCTAAATCTTTACTATTTGTGGGGCCGTGCAGGCATTCTAAGTGTAGGAAAATGAGACACGCATTCTAAGCCTCCACCCTGGAGCCGGTACGGCATTCTAACTTTCAGTCCGGCGGTATAGTTATATATGTTCTTGGCTGGCGGAGGTTTAGCCCGGTGCTAAGCAGTCCGAGGATATGCGCATGTTGGGATGCCGAGCACCGTCGAGCAATGCTCTAGTGCTTGCAATTTGTGAAAACATAAAATGCCAGAAATGATTCAAGCCGATACAGGAGCTTGGGTTTTGAGGTGCAGAATTACGCGATATGTTGCCTATCCACACACAGTTGTAAACATATTGAACAGGTAACAGCCAGAATTGGCTTGCAGTTTTTGACAGTGAATCTGACCAACTGATGGCATGGTGAGGTGCGAGATGTTTACCCATCACCCGCGCAAATTCGGTCACAAATGAAGGCCAAACGTTTTGACTTCACTTCGACCAAGGCGGACTCCTCCAATGACTCCTCCAATGACTCCTCCGATGGACATCATGGACGATGCGCGCTTTCTCATGCCCAAGTTTGAACTTCGAGGAGAGGAATGGTGTACGACTTCGTCCGAATCACTTGCGGGATCTAGACGAAGTCGTGCATGTCCCTTGAAGCATCTAAGAGTTCAAGGTTTACTACTAGCAACAAGTGCATCGCTACTAGTAACAAGGGCATTACTACTAGTAACAAGGGCATTTCTACTAGTAACAAGGGCATTGCTACTAGTAACAAGAGGCTACGAACGTAGCTATATTCAGCGATATAGTGCAATTATCTATTCAGGCGATCATCCTCTTAGTTGGGCCACGTGTCGGGCTTCATCCCCGAGAAGCACTTGAAGCCAGTGGGAGGGCGTAGGAGACGATTAGGAGACGGGCGTGGGATCATGCAAAGCCCGCCAACGCGAAAGGGAAGATCCCCAAACATCTATAGTTGGTATGGACAGGTATGGGCACTAGACCTCCCAGGCAGGCACTTCCCTTCTCCCACCTCCCACAGAAAGAGGTCCCGCATGGTCCATGAAAATCCCCCTTCCACGGGTCCGACGCCACGGGCTCCACGAGCTCCACGTCTTCAGGATCTGACATCGTCATTCAGCTCTGAGAGTCAGCTCGGATCTGGGGTCCAGGACGGTGGAAGTAAAGATTCTATGCAGGTCAGAGGTTCATCCAGGTCAGTGGGTTCCGGACAGGAATTGGGAGAGAGCTTGACTTTGCTTACAGGAAGCAAGTAGTACTGTATGTCCACATGATATTTAGCAGGACAGTATGTAGATATATGTAGATGCAACTGGTGAGGTAGGAACAAAGTTGAGTTCACAAACTGTTTGTTGGTTTTAGCCACTGTGGGTTTAACCTTGCTTCTGCCATTTTCAGCAACACATTTCGGTCGGGTTCAGGGTCCTTGCTGACTTCAAGGACCGATGCTGATCGTACTTCAAGAGCGCCCACCCCCAACCCAGCCGTGCCTAAAGGTTTAAAGGACACTCGTCCACTTTCTTGGCTGTGCCTTCCATCTCCGCCCAGTCACACTGGAAGGTCGATGAGAAACGTACGATGAGTCACGTGTGTCGTCTTCAAGAAGTGGAGCGGTGTAGCGCTGTGCTTCACGCTTTGTGACACTAGGTTTATGTGTTTTCAACTTGTCCCAGTGGGGGCAGAATAACTAAATTACCAAAGTCACCCAAAGCAACCTTTGATGTTTGCAGGTACCACTTGGAAACTGACAGCACGTGCTTTAACTACGTGGAACCGAACGTGCAGGATAGCCCCCTTTGTCCTGGATAGCCCCCTTTGTCTGTGTATCAGACGCGCCAACTTCCTAAGTGTGGGCGCAGAGAGTAGAGATCTGACCTCTCGACATGAGCTTAACGGAACGGACAGAATGGAACAGATCAATGGAAGAATGAACGGACAGAAACTTCTAAGTGTCTCAATTTTTGTTTTTCTGTGTGTGCCTTGTGAGAGAGGGCAGGAATGGAACAGAAATGAACAGAATTTGTTTCGAATGCAGATGGTGCGAAGTCTCTTTGCACAGATGTAGATGCAGCCGTACATTTGGCCATCTCCAGCTGTGTGAAGCTTGGACTTGGCATGCTTGCTGGCTATGCGCCAGTAGCAAAATCGAGTTTTGGGCATTGCTGCCCATGATGGGTGTGGAGTTGCTACATCCTTGCCATGTAGCTTGGTGGGATTTGGATGTTGCACCAAAACTCAATCCTCCATCAGCTTAGATTATCTCACTCCGTGGCTGAACTTAACTTATTTCAGTAGCTCGCCTCCAATCGAACATGCATTTACCCAATTCCACAGGTCCCTGGACAGTTTGTTGATGCTTTACACACTTCCCAGAGGGTGCAGCACTATACTGAGGTACCAATATCTTCCATTTCGGTTCTATAGGCATTACTACGGTAGTGTATTCCAGGTATGCTTGGGAGAGACTGCCTGGTGAACAAGTCACCTCACGCCATCAATCCTTCCCCCCTTGGTATGTTATAGCGGTGTTGAGTGCCAAGGCTGTACCAGGCGACCTTATGCCTAGGGTCCGAGGCCAACAGCTCTTGAGATTTCTTTGTTATGGCCATTCTTTGGTCACACGTTATCGTAGAAAGTAAAAAGGCAGGCACAAAGACATCAGGGACACCAGCAAAAGGATTTTTGCTCTCCCTGCTTGCAAGCCCGAGATGTGTACAAACCCATATGGAATTTGTTCAGTTGCTCATGTAGAAAGCATGGTGCGTTGCAGAGGCAACACCCATACGCTGGAGCAGCTCATTGTTCAGCTCAATGCAGTCCAATAGAACCACACCGACACCCGAACTGGAGGACACGGATTTTGCGCACGACTTCCTGCTGTGACTTGTAGGACAAACCAGTCGTGCACAGCACTTGCATCTATGCAGGTGAGCTTTTTATTTCGCCTGGGGTCAATCATGCAAGGCCCAGAATCTCAAGGACATCTGCGTTCTTTATTTTGCACAAGTGCCTTTGGTGTCGGTTTCCGTTGATCTCCCGTTGATCTCCCCTGGGGTCGTACAGAATGTTTGACCTAAGGCAACACCCTTTGTCTCTTCCAGTCCGCATCGGCTTGAAGCATTGGAAGACGAAGCGAAGCAGAAGCGGTCGTCCGGGGGCGACCCCAAGAACGAACCCAACCGGTGACCGGCTGTCCCACCGTTGGTCTCAGTGCCAGGCGCCGATGCCTGGCAGGGGCATAGCATGGATCATCATGGATCGTTGTTCTGCCTTTTGGACATTATAAGGTGCAGTTGCTTGAGGAAGGGTAAAGGTTTCGATTTGAGTGCTGAGATGTGTTGAGTTGTACTTAGTAATCAGTAAATATATGTACTTATAGTATTTCTCACGTGTTTTGGTGCAGGGCTCCCTGTGTGAAGACTCCAAGAGACATTCTTTCCATTTGTTTTTCATATGAATTACTTTCAGGAGTGTGCGGAGTGCGCTACTGGAAGCATTTCGCACATGCATTTTGTGTTCTGGATCCTACGGGGCTCCAGGAAGTTGGGGCAGCCGTACATGGTCACCGGCAAGCACCTGTTCTAGACGGTCAATTTGGGTGATAAAATAGGTAGATGTTAGAGATTTCGTGAAAATTCCGATCAGCTTGGATTCTTGTTTCTTAGCACGCAAGTGATATCGTTTTTTCCACCCATATTTCTCCCATTTCTTGACAGTCCCGTCTCGGGAACGAGTGAAAGTTAGTCGTGGGAGGACTGCGGCCAAATGATACTGGGACGGTAATCGGAGCCGGGTAGTTCGCCCTCGGAGTTTCAATCGAGACCTGGTAGCATACCCGTGAGTTCGTCAGGGGCATTGGAGGGCTTGTGACCGCTGCGACTTGTAGTCACAGGAAGTACCCCGCTGCCTAAAACGGATGGATGTTTGTTGGATTTGTTGCTTGAATTAGCGTTGCTAAGCACGTGGTGTAGTGGATCTGGAATGGAGCCCGGCTTCATGTGTGTCACGAACTTGTTGTCTTTGGATCCTTGTTTTTTGCTGGGATGTTGCAGTTCATGCTTGTTTTGACCATTTTCGCCGGGTCATCTCCCGAAATCGACCTCCCGTGGGCTCGGGAGTACGGGACACTTCCATCCAAGACGACTCACATGGGGCTGTCCAGAAGTGCGCACAGAGAAAAGGCCGCTGACGTTTGCAGCTTCACTGAGATTGGGTAAAATATGGCCGCTTTCGTGAAAACCTCACCCAGCAAACATCACCAAACCATTAAAGATTGACCTTCTTGAAAGTCTTGACATCCCTCATAATTAGAGAACATTGTTAATGTTCGATGGTCAACCAGGCCCCCCTGTTTTGACCAACAGCCATAAACGCATCGGCGCACAGGTGCTGTATTCGGCGCCGAAACAAAAGCCAAAGCGGCCGGTGGCCGGCGTGCGAAAAAGTGGATTGCGAGTGCCGAGTGCTTGAAGAGCCGGTCATGGACTTTGAAAGCCCTGCCTCTCGCTCTCACCAACAAACCATTTTGTAGCATTTCATTCGCAGGCTTCCAGTCATATAAGGTTTTGTGCTTGGGTAGGCCGCTGCTTTGTGCTGGGGCTAGGGCATTTCCCGATTTACGCACTCCACACTCGGAGCGCATACAGTGTCAAATAAGCACAGCTGCACATCACAAATACAAGCGGTGGATTGAATATTGTTGTTCAAACACCTTGTGTTGAGCATCCTGTGACTTCGAGTCATTGTGGTAGTTGCAGTGCAAGGTGCTCAAAACAACGCAGTATCAAGGGTACTGTTGTTATCTGCGGGAAGGAATCACACCCCAGGGCCCGGCCACAGGAACGCTACATCCATGTCACAAGGTCGCCGGCGTCCGGCACACATGGTCCACCGGCAACCCGGATAGCCCCCCGGTGTCCTCATCCAGAAGGACGCGATGGCCCGTTCTGTTCTCGCTCATGTTTCATTTGACTCATAAGCAATTCCGCGGATGTATATATATATATATACATGCGGTTTTTAGTGCAGAGGTTTTTAAAACCATTTATATAGAGCTGAGAGTCTTGCGGCATGAGCAGTGGACCTCCGGACGCCTCACATGTCGGGTTTCCCCACGTTGACAGGTTTCCCACCATTGGGCAATGAGCAAGAACAACTCTGATTTGCTGTTCCTCCATCACTTTCAAGATTGATTTTGACAAACCACCCACAAAGGACATGGAATGGTATGATGTTCAATGACAGCTAAGAAGGTCAGGGGAGATAAGTATTCACGGTGAACCATTAGAAGAACCAGATTGTTTGCCTTTGATGTGGAGGCCTCGGGATGTTGTATGTATTTTACAAGGAGTTAAGGCTGGGCAGATACAAGATACAACATAATGAATCCACCTGGCACCTTTTGAAACACCTTCAGCCTTTTTGCAACAACATGCGCGCTTCATCATGTTCCATGAATCACCCTCAAGGGCCACATTGAAGATCCCTTCTTGCAGAACAAGCGGAACAAGTTCGCAGTGATTGGAATGGTGCAATATGCTGACCATCGATGAGGAACTGCCACATCCCCTATGCCTAGGCAGAATCTCGCAATATAACCACGACAACCAGATGTTTTCAGGGGTCGCCTTGGGCCTTGTCCAATCCAAATGCCACCTCACATTCAATGTCCAAGTCAGCGAATTGTTGGACATCACAGGCTTCCGGAGTTTCAAAGCTAGAGCTTTCCATGGCTTTTTCCGGGCTTGGTGTGCAACTGTTCGGAGTGTCAGATATTTCTGTGCGTTGGCACACGAGTGGCACCGATGCGATGCACGAGCCATGTGCTTGACTTTGGCGGCCACAGAACAGTGTCCTCCGCCAAACAACCTGACGACTGCCCGCCTGTGCGACCGGCTTTGTCCCGAGATATTGAGTGGTTCAACCAGCGACATCAGCAGAACATGAATTGCAGCACGAGGCAACTGCTGAGAAGGCGATAGGTAAATGGAACCGGTGTTGTCTTAAACATGTTTGCCTATAGTATACTGTTACATGGGTTGGATGCTTTGACATTAACTTGCTCACTTCGAAGCAACAAGGAGCAGGTAGTGCCTGTTCATCCCACATGCCTTGGGTTCAGCTCTA